AAGGCTCCAGGAAAAGACATTGACACTAGCTGGGTCGCACACGTAACAATTGAGGGATATAAATACCACAGTTATGCTATCTCTTTCAAGTTGTTACAAACTCTTGGCTGTATTTCATTTAAATACTGAACATGCAGCATATTGATAAGCCTCCAGGACACCTATTAAGAATGCTATTAGAGCCAGAGGCAGAGAGATGTATGTGAAGATGTATGATGTATGTGAAGAATTCATCTGGCAACAGTTTGGTCAGGATTCTTTACACAAAATCCTAGTCTGTTATGTCCTTAAGTATCGTTGATGAGAATAATTTTTTCTTTCCCCTTGATTTAGCATCACCTTGTCTCACTTGTCAAATCCACCTTTTTCATAATCAGAAACACTACAGCAATTCACATATAACTGCATATCTATAAGTTACTCCCACTAAGTATGTTCTACTATGTTTTAAAAGGTAAATTTAGCAAGAAGAGTAACTCTGCTTGCTCACATTTATAGTAAGCAGCGTTAGAACTTACGTGGTACTCACAAAATCTTACCAGGAACAACTGTATCTGAGGACTGACTTCCATAGTTCACCCCTTCCACCCCAAATACAGCACTGCTAATTCACTCAAATAATACTCCCAGGTGTTATTACTATCTTATGATTCAGGAGATATAAAATACATAAAATCTTCTTCCTGCAACACTACAGATTTAACAATTCATCCAACCAATTCATTCAGAGATTTTTTTTTTTAATTAATTGATTTCCAGCAGTCCAAATAATACAGGATTTTAAAGAAGATGCCTTGTTAATCCTTGCAAGCTGTCTGAAGCTTCACAGAATATCTTGCAGGTTTCAACTCTAGCACCAGGATGAGACAGGGCAGATTCTCAGACAACTAGAATTAGCAGCTAGAACTCCCAACATAGTTTCAGGATTTGCACATACAGACCTTCCCTGCAACCTTTTAAGGAAGCCAACATTCTGCAGTGTAATTCCTTCTGAGGTTGTGCACGCTACTTTTTTGAACACTTCACAGTTTTTTCAAATCTTGCCCCTGAAAGGACACTGCTGACTGACAAAACTCATGTTTTGCAGCACAGGTATGCTGTATGTAAACCAGCAACAAGCCAGCTTGTCTTTATATTAAAGACCGTCTCCAATAGTTATCAGCAATAAACTCATCTGCATAAGATTTTTAGAAGACAATGACTTGGAAAAGTTTAAATCCCTGAGATGTTTCTCAACCAAGCCCAGGTCCATGCCTGGTGCTGAGACAGTGCTGGTAAAAAGCTATCATCCATTCTGACATATACAATTGGCTTCTAGCAAGATTTCAGTGAACGAGGTAGCCTAAAAGAGCTGTACAAAATACAGCAAGAATTTAAAAATTTATTTGATAAGTTTTTAAAGGGAAAATGCACGGAACTGTAATGACCACAGTATTTTCACTTCTACCAATATGAAAGGCTGTGATAGATACTTGATATGGACATCAGACACCATCCCGGATTGACTTCAGACGAAGTAGTACAGACAATGCTTATCCTGCAGTGATAAACCAGGAGACAACCACGGCCAGGCTGGATGAGGCTTGGAGCAACCTGGTCTAGTGGAAGATGTCCCTGCTCATGGCAGGGGGGTGGACTGGGTGGGCTTTCAGGTCCCTTCCAACCTAAACCATTCTGTAATTCTATGAACTAAAGGTCCTTATTCCCAGCTTTACAAAAAGGTTGGGTTTTATTCTTGTATGACAGGATTAAAACTTGTATTACGAGTCTTAAAACTAGAATGGAAAGGAGTCATAAAAAATATTGGAGGAAATCCAGTTTGAAGAACCACAAGCACGGAGCCACCTGGAATTAGCCGTAATTGCAATCAAGGTCTACAAATATTCAAGTTTCAAAATATTCTTTTTAAAAAGCACAACCTGTAAGCAACTTCTAGTGCTAACTGCTTACCTCATTAAAGCATAATTTAGCCTACTGATGTTGAAGGTAAACTCCTCCAAACAACTGCACAGACATAAATGGAGACTGTGGACATTTCAGGATACATCCTCAGATAGAAAACTGTCTCCAGACAGGTCACCTGATTTGTGTCTTGCTTTGAAATGATACAAGAAAAGTTGTTAGATATCAATATCCAAAGGTAAAGCACATCAAACTCCTAGTAGCAACTGACCTACTTCCTAAATTCTAATTTAACACTGGTAATAAGTTCTGCAGCTGAGTTAACTTGTTCTAGCAAAGGAAATACTAAGCTCTGCCTAAAAATTTTAGGTAGTAAAAACTCAAGGAAGCAAACAAACAAACAAAACATAAAACAAACCCCAACCACCCCACCTTATATACTCAACAATGGATTAAAAGACAAATTCTTTTGCAAGCTGTTTTCTTTGTGCTAGAATTGTTGAACATAGCCACAGAACTACCAGCCACCTTCACTGCTCACACTCATTTTGTGAGCAGTAAAAAAAATAAGCTGACTCACATCAGTTTTACTCCATCTCAGGTCCTACAGTTCATAAATGGTAAAATATCAACACATTAAGGCACTTAGTTGCCAGATACAAAACACATTTACCTATTTTTACCACTAAAACATTCTGAGAATTAAAACAATGGCTTTCTGGGAAGTGACACATGTGGGAATGATCACTGGTAATAACCAACTGGGCACACAATCAACTTCATGCCTGTAAGAATTAAATACAGTTGGACTGCAATTGGATTTGCTGTATTCAAAAAACAAAAGTTACATCTCCAACACTTCCTGCTAAACTCTACAGGTTATGCTGAGATGTCTGAACTTTTACTTCAAAAAAGTTTTTGTAGTTGTTTAATCACTGACAAACAAAACCAAAATTATCTCCCCATTCTACCTTTCCCACCTTGCTTATCAGTGTCTGAGAAATACTGCTGTAATTTAGATACTTCCAACTGGCAAAGTATAGACCAAGAAATGCTGAACAATACTATGTTTGGTAAAAACAATGAGGTTACTCAGTTAAAACAGACTAGTCAGCAAAGGCTAGACGAGAAAAGAAGTGAGGACAGCAGAACAGATTCCACTGAAATATAAGTACCTACCTACTTTTAGAATTGTGATCTGGAGAAACTCTTGCTTAACTGCCTTGCCAAAGGCACTTCCCTTGTTTGAACTCAAAGGTTCCCAAGTTGTCTAGAGTTGCAGCTTGGAACATTCCCAGAAGCATTTTAGTCCTGACAGAAACGAGCAACTCTGCATCTAGAGCATAACCGAGTTCAAACAGTAAAGAGAAAACCAGACATTCTTTTGCCCTGGACAACTCAGAGGTTAGTTTTAAACTACAGTCACTGTAAGCATGAATGGGCAAGTTCCCATTCATTAGCATTCTCACCCACTCCCGCGCACAAAAGTTATCTCGGGAAGAAACCAAAGCACAACGAACACATGGAATATTCAGCTCTCCTTTATGCCTCTTTCCTACATAACTGGCAAGTAGTTACAGCTGTCATCCTGAATGAGCAAGATGGAGGTTCAAACCTTCCTGTCCAAGAATTCATATATTTCCAGTGTCTCCTGAGAGCACTGTAAGTTCCAGCTAAATTATCCATAAGCTTCACCTAGTTTTCTTCCCCTCCCAATAGCATTGATTCACCAGTTCAGAGCTCAAGACTAATCCGGAAAACAGCCACGGAGGGAGGTTTGGGGGTCAGAGTCACCTGCTCCAAAGACTGTTTGTCTTAACTCATCAGCTGTTTTAATGTAACACTAAATAGCTATTTAAAAGGAAGAGAGAACTTCATTCTTTATCAGAATAGAGCACTTACCTTCCAGAGGCGATCCTAAAAGGAAAACTGCTTCCTATAGTTCTGGTGAGGTCAGATTTTCACAGTAGTCCCTGTCATCAGTGCTTTCCCATTGCCTAACCCTTGTAAGCTGCACGTAAAGCGTAATAACATTAGGTGGCTTCCTGCTAAGTGCACACACTGGTTTGGATCCTGTTCTGAACTAACTCTCCCCAGGCAAAGTCTTAGACACTTACTTTTCAGGTTATTCAAATTAGGTCTAATAAAACCAGTAAGTAGAAGAATTTAAATTAAATATCCACCTCACTGCACTGCAGACACTTCAGTTCTAGTTATCTGGTTTGGATTTAACACATTTGTTAAGTATTTTATGTAAGTAAGCATACATATATAATGGACATGAGGAATTCTGTTGGAATTTCACTTCTGCATTATCTAAGCTTGATTTTAGGTATAATGCACCATTAAAATTCTCTATGAACAGGCAATATATTAATTAGTCCCACATCTACCTTTCCTTTTAATTACGGGATATACCATAAAATTTTTTAAAAATATATAAATATTATATAAAAATAAGAAAAACTGAATTCAATCTTCAGTGAAATTATAATGTTGCTGATTAAATCAGGCAAGCAGTAAAAGCTAAAGCACATCTTAAACATCAGTTCTTCAGCCAAGTGTGGCGTACGTTATTGTGATTGTGGGAGCACATCTGCACGTGCATTTGAGCAAAGCACCGATGCAGAACACAGTATAAACACCAAAACTGTCACCAGCTGAAATATTTTATTTATTTCAACCTCTAAGCAGTCGTGTGTTGCATTAAGACTGCACTGTAGTCCATAAATCACTACCAATCTGGCAATGACTTCATGTATAGAATGACATTAAGCATACTTGACAACACTTTAAGCATCATACATTGTTGATAGGCTTTCACATTAGTCATTTCTTATCAAATTTTGAATACCTAACAATTAATCCTTATATACTGTATGCTGACATACATACCATGAAGCCTTGGACCCTAAGGTAATGGATCATATCACTGAATGTAATTGCAGATTTTTAAGGTGTCAACCAAAAACACGTATATCCTGCTTCAGGTTAAATACACTGACAGGTGCAAGAGGTGTGAGCTTTAGAATTCATTCATCTCATGGCAATGTTCAAGTGTACTAGTTCAAAAAAAATCACTAGAACACTTCTTAGGATTACTGTGGATTCACGTTCTTACTGATCTTCTCAACGTGGCTCAGTAGTTTCAACAAGGCAGATGGATTATATGGGAAAAGATTTCTTCTCTGCAACCTAGAAATAGCTTTTTGCAGTTCTTCCAGACACTTTCTTGATTTGTAAAGCATTATGCTTAGGGGAACAATATCATCTGAACATGCCACACAAGTCAAACAGGATGAGGTATCAGATCCCTCCTGTTTCAGAGGCACCACTTCAGACTTGAGTGTATTCTGTTTATCATCTGTGTAGCTGCAACTTGTTTCCTGTATCCGCCTCTCACCCTCATTATTTAAAAGCACCTGCTTTGTGTTTACCAAACACTCTTTTCCATCTGATTCTAATTCGGAGTCTTCTGAGCTGTCATAATTAACAAGGCTTTGAAGAGAACCCGGCAGAGATGCACCATCAGTGCGTATCGACGAGGCAGACTGGTTGGACTCTGCAACTTCATTATCACCTTGCTCTGTTGTAAACACAAAGTAATTGTGAGAAGCCGCCAAAGATATCAGAGTCTGTGGTTCTGGTTCACAAGAAGCATTGTGCAAACTCTCCTCAGTCATACAGCTTTGTTTTTCTTGATGGGGTGGATCGGCAGAAGACGTTGATTGAAAAGTACAATGTTCGGCACCAAAACGGTTACAGACATCTACAAACTGATGCCAGTCCTCCTTGAGAAGCTTTAAGTACCTAACCAAGTACTCCAGAAAGCAAGTTTCTGATGAAATCAAAAAGTCTAGAAGTACTGTGGAATCAAATGCAATTTTCTCTAGAAAAAATAAAAAGATACAGTGAGGATTATATCCACTTGCATGCGTCAGGAAGTTCCAGGTTTCCTCCTCTTTTTGGCTTAAGCTATCAGCAGCATCATGCCGTAACCTGAAAAGTAAGTCATAAAATTGATTTAATTGAATGGAAGTTTACAGTTTTGGGGTTTGTTTTTTTTTTTTTCTTTCAGGTATGACTAGAAAATGGTATTCTTGCTCTTTTTTGATTTTGTCAACAAGTGAAAACGAAAAAACAGAAGCTTTACATTAGAATGAGAAAGAATCAAGGCTGGGGAGTAGGAGATCAGACAGTTTAGGAAGCCAAAGTACTTAAACCAGTCCTTAAACAGCACTCCTGCTTTGGAAACACTCTGGAATAAGCAAAGCTTCTTAAAATAGAAGAATTATTATTTTAATATTTTTATAAGCCTGAACATAAAAAAAATTCTTCTCAGACACCTAAATAAAAGTAGGGCCAGGCTCCTCTGATTTGCTTAGCGTCCTGAAAGTTTGTCCATCTGTGGTACTACTTGCAATAGATTCACATCTGAAGCTTGAGGAACATTTTATAAATTAGGATATCATCTTGTAGGGTAATTTAAACAATAATAAAGCCAGCTAGGACAAATTCATGTCCAGGACAAATTCATGTCCAAAGAACAGGTTTCAGCTGTTAGCAATAACAGTTTTTATCAACTAGCTAGAATTCACATGGGTCCAATCCTTAGAGGGCTACTTTGCCAGAAGTCCCTGAATTCTTGAAGCTTAATTATAATATCCCATTCTTGTCAAACTCTTAGTGTTGACAGAAAACAGTCTTGCCTTTTACCTGTGTCTAACCACTATTTTAGATTGTGAAGTCAATTATTCTGAATTACAGGATATGATAAACTATTTAATAGGAAACTGTTGCACAACTCCCTCATTTCAATCCAAAAAAACCCACTTAATCAAAATATCAAAGTTAACTGCTCTTACACTACACATTAGTACGTTGTCCTGAGGTTTGGGTTTTTATTAATTTTTAGAATAACTTTTCTTTATACAAAAGTGATAATCACAATAACCTTACTAAGTTGCAATTCTTCATAGTTGTGTCAAATAAAACGTACACTAACCTATCAAATTTTAAATAAATGAGTAATAAAGCTTTAGCCGCTTCCCACATATCGTCATCTTGCTCTATGAAAATCAAGGAGAGCCATTCACAGTGGTGCACAATCGGGTGAGATTGTGGGGAAGACTTCAGATGACTCTTCCAGAATACCAACAGCTGGGACATGGCACTCTGAAAGTCTCCTGAAAAAGAGAAGTAACCATGAGTTTTGCTATACATTTTTTGTTACTAAACAACATACATCTTTTTAAAAAAATTAACAGCACATAACAGTTCATTAATGCATTTATCATTCCTTAGCATCAAATGTTAGAGATTAGTTCTTGCTTTTTGGTACCAAATAATCAAGAAGTGTTTTGCAGAAAGCCATAAGCAGATATCTAACCTTAAATTCAGTGTGAATGGCTACTCAGTTAAACCCTAAACATACCAATGTTTAGATGGCAATGTTAACAACTGGATTTACTCATCAGGTAAAGGATTTGCCCTCCCACCTCCCCCAAGACAGATAAAACTTAAGGACACAATTTATTCATCTAACAGCTTTCTTGCAGTTCAAGAGACAATTATCAAAGGTGACCTAGTAAGTTTTGAGTACAACAGGGTGAATCCTCTCACACATAAGCTTGCAGACCAATGAACAAGACTGCTCACATCAGGAAAACTACAAAAATGTGACTTAGATGGAATTTACACTTTCCTTTAGCTTCCCATTTCGGTAGCTTCATTGGTACTCCACAGACTGAAGAAAGGTGGATTGTAATCAAGTCAATGCCACAGATGTAACAATCCAAAACGAGCACTTTGCTGAGACTTCACCTCAGGCAGTTCTTCCCATAAGAAATAATAATACAATTGTAGTATTTTGATAGGATTGAAGCTAAAGGCTCACCCCAGTGTGATTCACAGTAGAAATTAACTGCAGTGATTTATAGTTGATGGGAATAAATTGTCATTTCTACAATAAAACAAAGTATGAAGCTTGTAATATAGCCATATTCTTGATAAAATAAGTTCTTCATGGATGATTTTTGAGTACATACAGGCTGGGGATAAAGGCACCTTCATGAGATGGTCTAAAATCCTCACTGGAAAGATTAGTGCAAGCAGAGTTTATCCTGCAAATCTTGATTTCCCCCCCCCTTTCTAAGCACTGCATCCCTGGATGGGAAAAGCATCTTGAAATATTGATGCCATTTCAGTGCAGTAGGTTACTCATAAAAATAACTTTTTATTCATATCATAGACAGACTATTTCCCTGAAGCCAAGAAGCCTACCTCTTCAATACTAATGGCACACTATAGAAGGACTCTTTACATCTGAACAAAGGTACCAGTGTTTGATGTACCACAGCATACATTCAGCGTTTAGAAAATACCAAAAAAACCCCCATGCTGTCATACAACTTTACCCCAAAAGTACACCTTAACTAAGAACTCTAATGCTTCTGGAAGCACACTGTAGCTTGAAGAACACAGTTGGATCATTTATATAAACAGAGATATCACTTCTGAAAAGTTTCCTGCAATGTGGGAATCAATTTTACTTACAAAACCACCATTATCTGGTTTTCCTTAACACGTGACTTTTAAGATTTACTCTTCCTCTTACCAAATAATAGGAATGGCAACTTATCTTTGTTACTAATAGTTATTATTCAGACTGAAATTCTCCTCTATAAATCAAAGCTATCTGGAAATTACTCAAGATTGAAATGAATTAAAGTCAAGCCACTGTAATTCATGTTAATAAAAAAAGATAAGATCAACCAGCTTCCCGGAAGGGAAGTAGCATATTAAAGCATTTTGGTGCTTGTTTTAACCACTTAATTTAATGTCACTAAAATAGAAGCACCATTCCTTTCAACTTGAAATTCCTCTTGACAGTTGGGGTATTTGAATCTAATTAAAGAACTCATTTTTGTGTCATGAAACTGGAAAGGAGATTTTTTTCTTTGAGAAAGAATTTTCATAGAGACATCTAAAATAGATTTAACCTACATTTTTTCTATTTTCTTGTTCTTAGACAATCTCAGTCTCTATACATTTAGCAGAAGGTGGACCATATAAAAAATATTCTCGACAAATACTTAAAAAAGCTCTACAAATCTGGCATCACAAACATGTCCGGAAAAAGTCTCAGAGGTTGCCTTGCAGAAGTCCGTGGCTCTTCTGCAGTCAAATGCATTAAAAAATGATTTTATGCGTGCTACATAATGTACTAATATAAAAAGCAAAATAACATTTACATCTAGAACTTGTATTAAAATGCCTCAATAAGATGCTGTAAATTTAATCTGTGTTTAGAAAGAAATATACACTATTTTTTACTTTTTGCCACATTGTCAACTGCTGACAATAAGGAACACCCATTCTCACTTGTATTTGACTAGAAAGACTGCTTCAGAAATGCCTTTCCATTTCACAGAATGGTTTAGGTTGGAAGGGACCTTAAAGCCCACCCAGTTCCAACCCCCTGCCATGGGCAGGGACACCTTCCACTACACCAGGTTGCTCCAAGCCTCATCCAGCCTGGCCTTGGACACTCCCAGGGATGGGCCATCCACAGCTTCTCTGGGCAACCTGTCCCAGTCCCTCCCCACCCTCTCCGGGAAGAATTTCTTCACATGGTTTCTGCCATGAAGCCTGTAATCCAGGGACAGAAGCTGCTTTGATCACAGCACTTGCACATCCATGTTCACAGAACTTAGCATCAGAAGATGTGCATCATGTGCCTCTCAAGGGTAAAGAGGCAAGCGGAAAGATGGGATTCCAGGAGTGTCTTAGGCAAAAAGCCTCACCACTTCATTATAGCACAGGAGAAGACTAACTGGCTACCAGCATGACACAGCAATGCATCTTCTCCCATCAGGAACGCAAGTCACGCAGCATTCCCTTGCCATCCCACTGCCTGCCTTGGGGCATAGCCCTAGCACAAGAACCAGATCTGCTCTTCTACTAATCCAATTCACCCACTCAGTAGAACAAACATACTCAAGTATGAAAAGCATGCCCAACATCTGCTCATTCAAAGAACTAGAATTGTAAGTCAGGGTGAAGAACGCAAGCACTATACTCTGCTAACTCCAATAATTTTCCTGTCTTTCACTTTACAGCTTCATTATTTTTTTACCTTTTCCAACATTTCTGGGTTTTACCCATAACATTCTTTGTCTGACAGTAATGCCTAGTACCTTCAGCCAAGATAATGGTACTTGCAGGTCTACCATTACACTAAAAAACGGTGTTACCTGTCATTCCTTTTAGTTCTCAACCCTGAATAGACCAGATGCTTGTGCTATGGGCTCTCTTCTTTCCAAATGCAGAAAAGCCTGGTGTTCCCAAGCCAGCTTAACTATTTCAAATATTAACATATGTTCTTAACAAGAAAAGTTTCCAATCCCCAATGGAGCTGTTGCAGGTCTAAGGAGAGGATAAAATGCAAGGACACAACCAGCTACGCAGGACACAGTGATAGCAGTTTCCTGAGTGGGTCTTCTCTTTCCTCCCTCCCACCGCCACTAATTCAGCTGGATTCTATTTACAGTCTTAATCAGCTGCGACTACAAAATCTGAAAGCTTTAAAATCTTGCTGCTTGATGGCAAAACTGAAAGAGACTGTTACCTTTGATTTCAGCTTCTGTAGCGGAGTTCTGAAACTTGAATTCCAGTGCCTTAAGCACAACCAAACTTAAGGCTCTGAGAACAGTTTGGTCAGAACCACCTTGAGTATCATCTCCAGGAGGAACTTCACTGCTTCCAAAGTAGCTGGCCTTTCCAGCAAGTGGGATCTGATTAAGCCAAGTCAAATTTGCATCTTGCAGAACAGCATTACTCAGTGCCAGCATATCCTCATACAAAGTAGGGTTTTTTAAGAAGTGTGATCCACTTTTAGCATCTTCTCTAGATTTGTAAAGGACACATTTTTTAAGGAGCATTATGAACTTCTTCTTGATTAAATAGTGGACTGATGAGCTTATGAGGTTCAGGACATAAGAAACTTTCAAAAACAATACTCTCTGGCATCTGAGGGGTAGGTCTACTTCAATTCGAGAAGCCAAAAGTACTTCAAGCAGATCTATAAAACCAATCAAATTGTTTGCAGCTTCAGAATAAGGTGAAGTGTAGTGATGACTGTCAAAATGATGGAACAGAATGGAATTATAAAATCCTTCAAGCACAGCATCAAGAGCAGCCAACAGCTTCTTCAAAATACCTATAGCAAGAACAACAACATTACGGAGTTGGAGTGTAACACAGTCAGCCAAATGATCAAATAAGCAAAAAATAGGTGATCGTGACTATTGTCAGTTTTTAAGCACGTTTAAAACACTTCGTTTTTAACAGTCCTTTGTCACCCTCTTTATAACAAGATAATGGGTGTTCTTTAGCCAGGCTGCTCCAGATGAGATTCCAAGTAACACTCCTCCCTCTAGTGGGAACTCGTGTTTGGTAACATCAGAAACCCACCACCCTGCCTGCTTTGGGTCCAACCTCATCTGAAAAAACTTCACCATCAAATTGCCACCCTACCTGCTTTGGGTAAAACCTCATCTGTCAGTATGTTCTGGATAACAGCTGTAAGAGTCCACAGACATTCTGCTATCCGGGTATCCACAGGGAATCCTAAAAGGGTCTTCAAACTAAAGGTGAGCCAGGCACCGTTTAATGTGTTCTAAGAAAATGAGTTAAAAAAAAATAATCAGGGATGCTTTACAATTGCTATGCAAATTAAATTAAGTCTTAATACAATGATGTAAAATTGTACATTAAAAAGATTCAAACGTAGGCATAGACAAAACACAGGTAGAAACAATGTATCTGTCTTAAGTTTGTAGGCTTCATTTCAAACATGAATAAATTTCTTCATTTACAAACATGAAGTCACAGACACATGCCATAGAAGTTACCTGTGTTTTCCAGAAAGGGAAAACCAAACTTCCTAATGTTATGTGACCTCCCCAAAATCAGACAACACGGTTGACAGACCATACCTGAATTCATAATCCCCAAACAACTTTGCAGCAAATATTACAAACACATTTCTGAGAGAAATCTATGCTCAGAGATGCCACTGTGGAAGCTACAACAGTCACCAAACATATAACAAGGAAAAACTTCAAATAATTGGAATATTCGGCAAGAAAAGTATTTGATTAACTTTCATTTGGTTATTACCTGCTTTCATCTATTGCATCACCTAAGAGAGCTCAAGTAATTGTAAAAATATTGATAGCATAGATTATTTTGAAATACATGCCTTAAAACCTTGAAGAGAATATTTTTTGTAATCTCAACACATTTCATAAAATTCTCAATTTTATATATAAAAACATTCCACCTCACATTCCAAAATTCTGTAACACGTCTGATCTCCTTTCTGTACTCCATGCCCCTCCTAACACACTTGAAATACTCCCTTGGAATATTTATTACGCATCTTTCCATGCTGTCACTTACAACCCAAAGCCCTGTAAGACACACGTTATGGGAGATCTACCACATAGTGTTATCTTCTGTGACTTTCACATTGTTCCTGATACTGGAGCTAAACATGCTTCAACAGAACTGTGTGGCATTTTGAGGGGACTAGCAGACTCTCTATGCTGAGCATCAGGAGACTGCAGAGGTGCCTTTCAGAAAGCTAGAGCAGAGTAGCCACAGACGGAGAAAAGCAGCGGTACTGATGTTGCTCTGTGGACAGCAGCCTCTTTACAAGTACTTTCACATTCCACAGCAGTCATATAGTGACTGCTCTTGTGCCATATAACCACTATAAAAAGTTGGCTCTGGAGACAACTGGAACAACTTCAAGGCACATATTCACCAAGTCATTCTTTTAAGCTGTGAAAACTTATGTCATACTCACCTCTTCCTTCAGCTGGAAATACACAAGAGATGCTAAACTTTTTGAAGCCATGTGAGATAACAGCTGATCATCACTACCGAGCAGGTGAATCTGCAGACATGTAGAAAGAAAAAGTATCTAAGGCACTAAGGCATGTCCCTTTTTCTCTTCTTTCACAAAAATCTTTCAAAAGTTTATAAAAGCTTACCATTTTTGAGTCAATTTTTGCCTCCTTCAGAAGAAGGAGAAAGATTTCACAGTACTTCTGTCTTGTACTGAATTCAATTTCCTGGGACTCTGCTTTAGCAACCATCATCTTGATCAAGGTTAACTGAAGCAGCATCATTTCTCGTGGACAGAATGAGTTCAGGTTTGCCAAGCTATTTGATACATCATCTGTTGTAGAGACAACCGTATCCGACACAGCAGTGTCCTGATGGCTCCTAACACCACCATTAGTAGATGGCAGTTGCACCTGATAACAGGACTCCTCTCTTTCTGGTGACTGCTCAACACACAGATTAAGTAAAGAGGTATAATGATGGCTTTCCTTTGCTAGTGGAATGCCTACCACTACATCCTTGTACATCTGCTGCAGAAGAGAAATCTTCATTATGAGAACATTCAATATTCCAGAAAATGACGAATGTCTTCACTGATTATTCATGGTCTCTACAAATCAGCTTCCAAATTATTTTTATCCAGCAAGAGAAACAGAAGCACTATTAGGTATTTCTCCTCCAAGTTACCTAGAAATAAATATTTTGCTATTACTGAACTTAACAGATAACTAGAAAGATACCACAATACACATTTTTAGAGTTAATACTACCATTATTAAACTTATTTTGAAAATACAAATTCCCTGTTTAAAGACAGCAAGAGCGATAGCTGCATAAAACTGTCCCAAGTGAGACATTAAAAAGAAACAAGAATTAGCATGCTGTTAAGAAGTTTACAGTTCCAATTCTATACTACTGACACCAACATTAATTTGCCGGAACTAACAAACCCAAAGATGACTCTTCCCAGGGACTACTTCTGAGAGAGAGGAGAACATGGATCAAATCTTTCTCTACGCTGGTATGACCACTAAAACCTCATTTCTTTCGTGACCGCTTCCTCCAAAACCAGGCACATAGCTCCAGCTGCAAATTTTCATCTGTACTGACGTTTATTGCTCCACTAAGGCTGGATACGACAATGCCTCTCATAAAAACCGGGAAACCAAAGGACAAGTCCTGTTTTCTGCTGCACATAGGCTGAAGGTGAGCAGAGTGAATATACAGGAGGGGAGAACTGGGCTCTTCATTTAGTAGGGAGGACCAAAGAATTCCTTTACATTTACACGTGCTGAACTCCGAGCACCTACATCCTGAAACCCAAACCAGGTTTTCAGGTAATGCAAAGGACCAACAGTGCCACAGGGCTGGTCTCAAGGGCCCAGTGACTGAGAAGTTTAAAATCAAAGAATACTTACAAAACAAAGTGTAAAACTTATTAAGAGCCAATAAAAACAATTAACTATTCAGGAAAGATTCAAAAAAAAAAATTTGGACCATGTCAGTAGAACATATCTTCCAATCACAACTCTGGAACATTCAACTATAGCTTAAAAAGAAGAGCTACTAAGAATTCAAATCTCTCACTGAAGTGTGGGCACCTAAATACTCACAATTTTCTAACCATTATGTAACTGGCTAGACAGATACTGTATCTCCCCAAAGAAAGAAAGGATATACTTAGAGTTTCTTTTTCACCTCTATTAAAGGTGAGGCTAGTCGGTAATATTTATCCTTTTTGGACAGTTTTAACATGTTGCCTAACCAGAACACTTTTAATAAAAAAAGAACAAAGTCATTACCTTTATCTAACGTGAAGTTTGAAGTGGGACTTATGTTGTTTATAGGAATTTTCTTTTTGCATGTTTTTTTGGATCCCCATCTTTTAAGTCTGGCATAATCAACCAAGCAGAATTCCAGGTAGACTCCTGAAGCCATCTGTCTGTAGTTGGCTTCTATTTAAATGTTACATTTCCCCTTTCTTACCAATGGACGAAAAGAGTTCCGTCTTCCAACTGGTAAGAAATTGTGAAGATCTTCCCACCTAGGTATCAGTTACCCCCACATTTATCATCACACCAAATATTTTAAATTATTATTGCTTTATAGCAGAATATTAGAAAACAATGAAACCATAAAATTCAGTATATGAAGCATTTTTCTTTTAGTTTATAATCTTCAGACATCTTTAAAACACTATCAATTACACCTTCCTTTTTACAACTTGTTTTTTTAACTGCAGCTGAAGCAGGCATTGACAAAATGGCTTCCCAAAGGTGCAAAGGATTAGGGGTAGACCAAGATACTCTACCCAGACTCCTCGCTTCTTCCACCATCAAGCAGTATTTCCTTCAGAAGAGAATCTAAAATTAGAGAATAAGAAGTTGCCTGCAGGGAGTAATCTACAATTCACTCTGGTGCGGTATTTTTAAAGACATCCAGCAACGGCTGACCTGACAACTCCAAAATGTTATAGTATGTTCCTCACCCAACCTTCACCTGACAGAGCTAAGAACCCTTCCCCCATCCTTTCCCATGTTCCACATTTTAGATGTTAAGAATAAATCTCATACTTCAGACAATGAATTCCTTCTTCGTTTGCAGAATCTATTTGGAATTCTACTTGAGGTGGAAATTTATGACCTGAAACCTCGTAAAATTTCTTCAGAAATCACTCTGAATATTTTATATAGCTATTGTTCCTATCTTTTGAGTTTTATTTCTTCCTAAATGAATACCTAATAAGGTAAAATTATCTCAACACATTTTCTTGGGTGTTCAAGATGAACTTGAATTATCATCCTACATAGCAAATGAACAGATCTCTCGCACACAAATTCATACGATACAGCAAGGTTGTTAAGGCAGCCAATATTTAGAACTCCTCCAGGACATGCACTATGAGATTCTACCTGCACCACATGAGATTGGTTGTGCTTTCCCTGATTCCTGCCATAATACATTTATATTATACCATTAATTTGCAGAACATTTTACAAAAACATCAGTAAGATATGTCTCACTCACACATGACAACAGTTCATGAATAGAAGTCATTAAAGGAAATGAAATGTGAGGGGGCTTATTTTGAAGAAATTTGCTTCAAAGAGGAGGAAAATGTCAGACATTGACTAAATTTATTTCAGACATCGTAAGAAAGCACAGTGAAAAGCTCAAAGCTGAAAAGAAACGCAATCGTATTCATACCCAACAAATGACAAACTCCAACCCTCACTTGTATTATTTATTCGAGTCATTCATGACAGCATCTAAAAACCAATTAAGCTAATGCTTCAGTGCCAGGCTCCTGCATAAACAACAGGAAACAGGGGTTTTTTTTAATTACATATAGACTGATCAGTCAAAAGACAGAAAGGAAAACTATACAAAAAAAGGAAAATTTGTTATATATACCTTACTTTCATGACTACTTTAGTTAGGTTTTAGCATCACAACCAAAGTCATGTGGAGCTGCAAACAGAATGAGACAAGAAACTTGTTGGAAAAGGAAACAAAGAAGTGGAGATGGGAACTCAGATGGCAGCTGAGGCCTATAAGGTTTAAGGCCCATCATAAACCAAGCAAGTGAAATTTAAGTGGTTGCAAACGCCTCCGGAATATCTTAAATCAGTTATAAAATATGTATATTTCTATAAGGCATGATACTTAATTTAGCACAAAGTCACAGAAATCATTGATTTGACTGGACTAACACTGCTGGTAAGGTGCTTACGACGACACACAATTGCTCAAAGGTATCAGTGAAGAGGCATGATTAGAGAAAGCTGTTGTCAAGTCTCTATTAGTCTTTCCCTGTTATATATGCTATTAAATGTTAATTGAATGAGTAGCAACTGGGAGAAAAACTATCCAAAATAAACCTGCTTTCATTCAAAAATTGAATCAGATAAAGCAAATGAAACCACAGTCTGTGACTTTTGGGTGGGAGTCTGAAAGCTCTGCACATCCTTACAATACAACGGTTGTACTGTTCAATAAGTAAAATATACTTTGGACTACTTGTACCTGCAAGACTTCGTAGGCTCTTAATAAAGAATACACTTCCGCTCAGAGCTGCAATACTGTGAAGGCCCCTCAAATAATGTCACATCCTTCCAGATGTTCCAAACAACCTCTGCTGTGAGCCGTCCAAACCCTGACTGATAACTTCGACACCTGAGCATGCCAGAGGCTTTGTCTGGTCTTCTGCATCCTTAGCCACTCGAGACAGGGCTGAAGAGGCCCACTCCCACCCCACTCGCCCCTTATGGTACCTCTCACGCTGGAGGTTCAGCCAGCACTGGGTCACCGCGCCACCCGCGCGGCCTACAGGC